TGATTTGGTAAGTATACTAATTTGATTATTAATGATTAGGCTAATCATAAAATCAAGAGTGCACTATCAATGAATGTGCGGCCACAAAAGTCTAACGTTCTAATTGATAAAAACCCACTAAAAATATCTTTTATTTATATTTATTAAGAAAATGATTGTACCTACTTAGATATTCTGATAAAATGTAGATTTTAGTAATAATATATTTTGAAAATATCTTGATAAAATAGGTACCTATTGGCATGTTTTTATGGTTATTTGCTGTTGAGCGGGTTTTGTTGCAGTTTTGGAATAAATGCAGCAATTTCCTTTACTTTAATTCTTCAAACTTCACTACTTAGGTATACATACTGAGACTCTAGTGCCTACTTATTAATATTAAAACCTAATAATAGATTCAATCCGTTCATAATGAAGGCAACTCCTCTATAATTCTCACGCTGGCCAGGCGGCTTGGAAATCGCAGTTAGGTCGCCGATATTTTTGTGGAATCCTGTTGCCTCTTCCACGGTATCTGGTCACAGTTTTAGGACGTTAGTATATTTACCCAGGCCCAAGCCAGTGGATGCGGTTGGCGTTTGTTGATGATTTGCTGGCCGCTGTTGTTTCCTGCTTCACCGGTTTTGACGTGAAAGAGTAGGTAACATACCTACACAAGAGTACCTGGATGACCAATCTACGCTGGTTTTTATTTAAGAAATGAGATTTTCTGAAGTTGAATCCTAGCTAGATCGATTTATCGCTCCCGAAACCCTCTATATTGGTACCTATGAAACAACAAAATCGTAGGAGCCGTTTCCGACATCGTTGGTTGAGACAAGATACAAACATTGGTCGTTTAACTTTAACACCTTGAACGCCATGAGGGACAAGGTATGGGCCACGATAGCGGAGGATTTACCCTCAACAGTTTTCTGTCGGCAGTCAAATTGTCCCCGCGCGCGTTAGGCAGCCCGACTGCACAGCGACTGACAGCGAGGCTGCGGCAGCCAGGATATTTGCGCAGCTAGTTATAGTAGACAATCAACGTCTACTCTACTGTATCAAAAGTCACCTTATCGAAGTTCTGAAGCCTTAGTACGTGTTTCTTTTAAGTTTAAAGTAATCGGAACGAGTACGCGTTCGGCACTCTGATTGGCCGGATCCAATGAACAAACCAATCAGAGCACCGAACGCCTACTCGTTACGATAACTATAGACGAAAAAAGAACCTCGTACTAAGGCCTCTGTACGCATATATATTATACTAGCGACCCGCCACGGCTTCGCACGGGTGCAATATGCATGTATTATACATACAAACCTTCCTTAAGAATCACTCTATCTATTAAAAAAAACCGCATCAAAATCCGTTGCGTAGTTTTAAAGATCTAAGCATACATACGGACATACAGCGAAAGCGACTTTGTTTTATACTATGTATTGAT